GCTTCACTTTCTCCCTATCCTTAATCTCGGGCTGCTCATAAGGTATTTCAACATGGTCTTGAGATGAAGATTCCGAAGCATTATAAACGGTATCAAAAACTAAATCATCGTACAAGGACCATCCACAATCCAACTCAGACACAGTTAACTCAGAATTACTCCCGCTTGAAGAAGAAATTGTTTCAGATTTTTTCAATGGGAATACCTTATTTTCTCGATAATTCTCGTCGGGACCAAGCTCCCGCTCCAGCCCGAAATCGGAGTTCTCAAGGAGCACACCAGAGTGGAGGAGGCCGGGGCAGCAGACAGAAAGCTTGTAAAGGGAGGCCCAGCCGCCCGGCGGCGAGGTGGCACCGCCAGAAGTGGAGATATTGGAAAGTAGATCGGAAACAACGGCAGATATAGACTGTGAACATTTGCTTTTGCAACACACAGTCTGGACAAGAGAGGCGAATTTAGTGGAAAGGCAGGCGATCCTAGCCCAGTGTCGGGGATCATCCTCAAGCTTGTAAAGGATGTTAAGAATTACATCATCGGATAGCCTCGAAAAAACACTTTCAGACATTTTCTGAAAGACCATAAACTATGACAAATCCCAAATTTGGAAACCCAGAAAACCAATTTCTCGGATTTCACAATAAAACGTCTAAATTCAATGGGGTTTTCATCTTCATCTGAGAGATGGATTTAAAAGAGAATAAGGGTTTTCATTAGATGAAATCAGACGGTATGTGTCTTCATTAGACGGGAATCAGATTGAAAAATCTGTGTGGGTTTCAGAGGGAGATCAAAAGATTCAAAACACGTACATTTTTATTCGGTGAAGAGATATTTGCGCCAGGTTCGTTGATTTAGAAAGTTAGAAAGACTTGAGTGAGGATCTCTATTTATGTTTTCCTGCCCCTGGCATTGGATTGATGCACATTGATTGAATGTGGAGAAGCCACCGGTTTTGCCGGCCCCAGTCACCCCATCTCATTTATACCTGATATCCTCTTTTCATTTATTGATTAATATGCATAAATTAGATTTCGGTTCGTACCAACTCGACTCATGTATTAAATTGCGCTCTTTTTATTTTTTTACCATGTCACTTGTGAATCTTCAAATCATCTCATTTGAGCTTGTGAGTCAAGGCGAGTCTAGAATTTGAACACGAGCTAAATTTGAGTGTTTAAGGATTGTGTCAGCTCAATTTGATTCATTCTCACCTCTTTTTGTATCTAATCAATAGATGTTATCTCCACTGCAAAAAAAAGACTTAATTAGAAATTAGGACTTTTAGTGGTACGTATACCCTGCTCGTATGTGTGTTTTATGCCAAAACATATTGAGTTGAGATATTTAATGGATCGATTCATCGTTAGGACATCTTGTATTATGTTCTAGAGACTAATGAGATTCTACACGTATGTTTAAACCAATTTTATTTTTAAAAAAAAAATCATTCTAATAATGGAGTGTAATTTCAAAATTGTTTTGCAATTTGTCCTGCCTCTATTTTTGAAGGTAGAGGTCTAGAATGAATGTGAGTTGTTTATGACATTGACAAAGGGACCCTAAAAAGTGCATTAAACAATAAAGGACTTTGGGATGCACAAAATGATCTAAACCACATGTTGAAGACCCACTACAATCACAATCTAGTCAACTTTAATCTCGACACAAGAGAACAAATCAACCTTCAAATCCCGTGTGCCCCCCCACTTATCCATTCATTTAACTGCTAAGTTCAATCTATTGTACTAAACATACTGCTGTAACTGGTAAATGACTTCCAGTAAGGTACGGAAAATAAGCACATTGTAAGCAGAATCAGCAGTAGAATACAAACCTCGGTCGAAAGGTAAGAGAGGAAGCAGGTGAAAAAAGCGATATACCCAACAGAAAGATCCAAAGGAAAAACTTAAGAAATCTTGTCCCGTTTGGATATAGTTTATGAGTCGGTTTATAAAATCAGTTTAAATCTAACATTAACTTCAACCACGTATATAGGCTACTACTCACACATTTTTGTATTGAATCCTTTGCAAAAAAAATTAAAAATTAAAAAAATCACACGTATAATAATAATTGGAAAGTTGAACACTAACACTTCATAAAGTATTCTATCAATTGATCCATTCACTAGATAGACTATCCGAGGACGACTCAGAGCTGATGAAGAAGATGGCCCAGTCGGGAACCACTAAAGCACCACCTAGACAGGCTCTTGCTCTGACTCCGGCTCATGCTTCTGCTCCAACTGGAACGTTCCTGTGAACTCTTACTACCACGCTTCTGGAGCTGAAAATCTGACAGATCAAGATGAAGGGGAGAACATAAAGTATACACTGGGAGAATTACATTACATTTCAGGGTAACAACTGCATTATATAGAACAACAGAAAACGTGTAACAAAAGGGACACACCATCAGCAAATGCAATAACAGTGTATAAAATTTTGATATAAAACAACAATAAACTTACAGACAATGCAGGGGACCTGGATCTTGACGAAGATCTGCAAAAGTTCCAGAAATAATCCAATTTAATATCCACTTGTGCCTCTTAACAACTTCGATCCGCGAAGCTCAATGCCACTTCGACGTCAGAGTGACCGTGACCAAAATGGATAAGTCGTAAGAGGAAACTCACTAACATTTAGCAATCCATGGGGAAAAGAAAGAACAGAGTAAGCAGAACAAACACATATGCAACAAAACAAGTGACGTAATTAAGAAAGAAGCAGAAATGCATTTTAGAAGACCAATAAGCAAGATACCAAAGACATTAGTATGCTATGGTGCTTAGCTGCATTGAACTTAGTTAAAATGTATCCACAGCAAATGGATGGTGTTCCCTCATTCAAATGGCAATTAGTTCACAGTCCAGCTTCACCTCATCAATCCATGATGTCCTTTGTTCCCCATCTAGCACCCACGGACATATGTGATGCTCATTAGAACGATAATACCAGCAATAAAACACCATACCTCAACGAAGAAAAAAGATGTGAATCATATCCCACAAAGACCCTAACAAGAAATCTCATACTGCACATGCATCCATATTTAAAAAAGGAATGTAATCCAAGGTTTATGAGGAAAAATTATATGATCATTTTTCGAAAAATGGATACATCCTGTCAACACCACACTCCAAGACGAGAATTAAGAGCGAGGAGGAACACATGACTGATGAGAGACACATGATAAGTGTGTTTTACACACTTATTTAGGTCACAAAACATGAAAAATTGTTGATGTATATGTTGAAATATGACTTAATTCGATATAAGTGTGTTTGTAGGGTTACATTGATGGATGGAATGAAAAGTATGAGAAAATGAACGAAAAGGGCCAAAATGGAAGAATATGAAACTCTGAGAACCAAAATACAATTATTCAAAAGATGACCCGAATGACGAATCAAGCATGATGTTGAGCTAAGTAACATATGGTGATACCATGAGATGTTAGAAGAATAAGGAGAAAAAAATAAAGGCCAAAAGGTGGATGAAACCGACTTGGGGACAAAAGTGAATCAAAGGACAAACAAGTTCTACCATGCAGTCGCATGGTAGAAAACACATGTAGTCGCACACGCATCTACAGGAGTTGAACATGAAAAATTTGTATAACTATGTTGTCGCATGGGTTTATACCATGCAGTCGCATGGTTCATTCCGAACGCGAAAATTCTGGTTTCTTTATTTGCCTCAAACACTTATGGTAATACATCTAGAACTTCTTTATAACCCTAATTTCGTCCAAAAAGAAGGGTTACGCATTCTTAGGGAGAAAAACACCATTGAAGAGCAAGGAAGATGGCGAGAACAAGGGATTTCATTCAAGATTCAAGATTTCAACCATAATTCTTAGTTTTTAGGTGATGTCTTCTCTTTATTATTTTTATTGTTCTTTTATTTTATCCATGTTAGGCTAGACTTTTCATGTACTAGGTGAACGATAAATCTCGCATTGTGATCTTTTAATTTCTATTTTACAATTTGATATTCAAACACGTTTGATGGATATTGAATGATTTATATACACTTTCTTGCCTCTATGATTATAGTGTACGATAATTGTGTGAGTTTGGGTGGTTTATTTTATGCATTCGAAAGAAGGAAAATAAACTCAACAAGGTATAAATCATCGTTTTGTTCATAAAGGATAGAAATATACCGATATGCATTACGTGAATCTCTAAATGTTTACAAAATTTCATGCATTCTTATATATTGCATTTGTCATAGAAATATAGTCAAATGGTATGTTAGAATATGTTCAATTCTACTCGAAAGAGATTGTTGGATAGGTTAAAAACATTGATTCTTCAACCAATTTCTCGTGTTGTCAAATTGTGAAATAGGGGTTAAGGGTGAACTTTGCTGGGGATTCGGGATCCTAGTACGCTTGTTCATACATTAATTTCATCAACTTTTGTATTCAACCATTATTCTTGCATTTAGATCGCAATTTTAGTTTAATTCGCATATTAGTCATAATTTCATCATAAAATCACAAAAACAATTATCTTGAGTTTAATAGATTTGGTTAAGGTCGACATCATAAAAATCACTTTAAATCAATTCTCGTGGGAACGATACTCAAAATTCTTGAATTTCCACTTTATTACTTGTGAACGATCCGTACACTTGCGGGATTTAAATTCGAAACGTATTTTCATGAACAACAAACAAAGCAGAAAATGGGTTTAAGTCCATCTAGACATGCAAATGAGCAGACTTATCCAAAGACAACTCATGCATGACTTGTGAACTAGTTTTATAAATATTCTTAAGTATTGTACTGAACTTGAAAAGGAAAAAATAGTATGCTGCAGTGTTTAAGCTAGCATTTGTTCTACGATAAAATATAGCAGCATCTATAACCACTTAGACATGAGTGTATAGCATCACATGTTGCCTTTTATGGTGTGTATGTTTTTCTCTTTTTGTATAGCAGCAAAAAAAAAATAAAAATTGACAACTTCACCACCATTGTTGAAACAGCTAGCTTGAAGTCAAGGACTTAAAAAGACATCCTAAATAGGTCTGTATGCATGGTAATAGCAGTCTTCTTAATGTAAGATCAACTATTAATGTTTGTGAGAACCACCCAAGTACTAGTCAATCCTGCTAAAATTGAGGAACCTAAATGGCAGTAACACCAAACATAATGATACTATTGGCCTATAAAAAAAAATTTCTCCAAGAAAAATGGTGTCATTGCCTAAGAGAAATGCAGATACAATGAGACAAATCAGGATTTATTTTTCAGTTAGAATAGAGGGAGAATCGAATGAGAGCATCTTGGAAGATCTACTTGATACTGCATAGCATTTCAAGGTTCTAATATTTGAAGAATTATTTTATCAAGGACAAGCATCAAAGACAAAAAGTTTATGTATGTGAAGTTCTTGTGATTGAATTTTTTATTTCGATACACAAAAAAAAAAAGGAAAAACAAAACAAAATAAAACAAACATGAGATGCCAAAACAAAGATTTCTTGTAATATCTCACTACTGCCCGCATAGAAACTTGGGAGAAATAAACATCCCCTGCTCGAAGCATAT